ACGATGTCCACTGAAAACTGATGAATATTAGTTTCATAAGGAAGAAAAGTAATGAAGTAAACATGAAAACTGACTAAAGCAGAAATTTTGCAATTATGACTTAACTTCATGACAGAGGTACATAAAGTCTTTCATTTGCATGGGAAAATTTGCATATACTCTTCTGTTACATATTGATTCTATATTAATTGAATACCTCTTACTCCCTTATCATCGTGAATTACTCAAAGGTTAGTGAAGAGAAACTAGAAGAGAAATATTTCCAAACTAGAAAAGCATAAATATATAATGAAATATGTATCTTTGTACCTGAGATAGAGTTGTGAGTTCTTCTATAGGTTTTAACAAAGTAATGAAAAAGAAACAACAAAAATAATAATAATGATTAGAAGGATGAGGATGATGAGGAGGAGATGATGATGACAGAGTTCCATTAGGAAACAAAATAGATTTTTAAATAATTGATAGAGCTCCATAAAAACACGTTACAGAGATCCACTTTCTCCTGTTTGTTGAAACTTGTTATGGTTAATAACAGTGCATCACAAATTGGGCGATTTCTTTCCTAAAATGTTAAGGCCATACATCATTTCTTCCAAATGTTATCATGAACTTACCCCAAGAGAACCATGCTGAATCATCTTGTGACTTAAATCTTTGTCTACACATTAATGCACATGAAGAAAGAATAATGTATATTTTCCCCCAACTTATTTTTCTTAAAAACATTATTTATCCTGAAAAAAGAAAGATAAGATTCATAACAGTTTTAGGGTTAAAGAAATTGGGATAATGCAAACAAATGGGAAAGGTATATATTTATTCACTATCAGAAAATGATAGAATTTGATAGGCCATTGAGTACACTTTGAAGATGTAGCACAAAACGAAAGGAGGAATATGCAGGCTTGGTCTACTTTACACGGTGCATAAAATAATTCTTGTTGGAACTTAATTATTTTAAGTATTCATATTGTACTCACTAAAAAACTAAAGTATATTGTACTCACTAAAAAAGTAAATTAAGTTAGGCTTTGTCTTTGTCATAAACTTTGTGAGTAAAAACTAACAATATAGTTAATTAAATAAAAAGTTTATTTATATGTATTTTTTGTTGTTAAATCCTGGGTAACTATAACTGTTTTTTTTTTTCTTTAAAAAATGAGACTTTTGTCATATTTTGATACTTCAAGTACATACTTCAGAATAAACTGGCAAGTCTCAGTAACAGAGCAAGATGGAATATGAATATTCTTCAAGAGGATTAAATTAAGTGGGAATACCTAACAGATACTTGGAAACAAATCAGTGCACAATGTAACATCTTCCTTCATGATTCAATTAGGAGGCAGCAAAGGCTTCATCACTACATCCATTTTAAATCTTTTAAATACATATATGAATTTTCTGAAGAAAATTTCTATAAACACTGATTACAATTTTGGGGAGGCATCAGTTGGTAATGATGGCATCAGAACTTTAGTTAATAATTTGTGACTAACAACACAGATGGAAAAACACTGCCAATGACTATCTTAAAAATTTATTATTCACTTGATATTTTAATATGGTCTTGTTCTCCCATCTCACTTGAGGGGAAAATAAGTGGTTTAAATTGTGGCTAGAGAAAAATAAAGTAACAAAATAAATTACAAAAGGGCTTTAATCCCGTTAAGAAATTAATAGAGATAAGCAAAAAGTTATGGGAAGTCCTCTGTAGAGATGCTTAAGGGCAAAGATAAATGTCCATCTGCCTAGAATAGTTTTAGCATGGCTTGCCTGAAGGAAGGGGAGTAAAATCTGCTAATTTGCAACATTAGCACAGCATCCATTTCATGTTGTCAGGATGCTGCCTTGAGCATATTAGCCAATCTACAAGATTAAAGCAAGTGCTTCCCGTAGAAATCTTGCGGTAACTGGAATTTGCTCTGAATAAGTCCTGAATGTGACAAATTCAATAAACCTGCTAGAGTGCATCAGATGGGGCTTTTTGATAGTCCTATACCGAAAAAGATCTTCATGCAGCTACAGTACATATTCCTTCCAACCATTCTTTCTTCTTTTATTGTCTAAATTACTACCTACAGGAACCATGACAGCACTATGCAGGGTTGTCAACTTGGAAATGCAAGCACTGGTATGATAGATAGGACAAAGGGCTCCTCTACCATCTCATATTGGACGCTGATCATATTAATATTAGTGGTATTTTGGTGAACCGTTACTTTATGACTTGTGGTTATTACTGTATTTGATAATAATAATGTGAAATTAAATTTACTCAGCTTTTATATATATTGACAGATAGTGTTCTTAAGTTTGAATAATAAAACTAAACTTCAAAGCTCATCCCATGAGATTAAGACTTTTTTTTGATAAAGTAGTTTAGACTATATTTTAGGAATAGAAAAAGGGGCCTATAATATTTCAGCTACCATCCTAAATAAATAAGCCTATTAATGCATTGTGAAACTTTGATGTCACCTATGTTGTCTTTTATATTGTCACATGGAAATCAGTGAAAAAAGAAGGGGAGGGATTGATTCTTTTGCCTATCATCATTCGTTATCAAAGCAGTTTTTTAGGCTGCTTTTTGTCCATAGCAACATGTATCCTCAGATTAGAAATTACTTGAGCTCTGCTCTAGTCATTGTCCCCATATTCAGATCCCTGTGTTCTCCCCACTGCTGCTTTGCTTAAAAAAATAAAAGAGAAAAAAAAAGAATTGTCACATTTAATTTCTCATCTCACACACACACACACCACTGCACTTTGGTTTTTATCTTCCAATCTAATCAATATTTGAAATCAGACCTTGACCAGCCTTCTTCAAAAATTCTAACTTTCTCAACACACCTTTACCTACTATTCTTCATCAGTACATAATATAAGCCATTTTCCTCATATTGATTTATATTTCTTTCATGAACTCTTTCTCCAAACATTCACTGATGACTTCAAGCAATGCTTTCTTTTTCTTTTTTTCTCTCAACCCCTATAGTACTTATTTTCTTGTTTATACATCAGAATACTGTGTATATTAATTCAGTACCTTCTACCATACTTATGTTTTTCCATTTTTAACTCTGTGATTGATTCATAATAGAATAATCATACCCATTTCTAAAACTGCAATTCATCTTATGTTCTATTTTCCTATCTCCTTACTGTACATTTTTTTATGGATATCTTCTAGCAGTAGATCAGTTGAATATCTGTAGAATGAAATACTGTCTTCCCATAGTACGTTACTATTTTGAGATATCTTTCACATATCTTATTTATCTAATAACAACAAATGAAACCAAGAAACTATCATATTCGTTTTATAAAAATGAGAACAAAAGCTCAGTGAAGTTGATGGATTCACTCATGTCCACAAATACAAACAACAACAAAAATATTCCAGAGACTCTAATTCTGAATTCATCTGAAGGCATGTATAATAAAGTCTTTAAATTTGGGGAAAACTCATGCATGCAAAAGGAAAATGACTTAAAATATTATTTCCTCATACCAATTGGCTACCATCTCATTTTTCCCCTCTTAATCTCTTATCTTGTTTTTAAGGTTAAATGAAGTGGACATATGAAAAGTCACCCATGACTTGTCCCTACTTCTAAATGTAGATGTATATATGAGAGAAAGGCTTCTGTATATTTGGATTATCCCAACATTTTGACAAAGAATATTAAAAGCCACTGTTTTAAGAACTTAGACATGCTATTCCTGTAAGATTGCAAAATACATTCCCAAGGGACAGCAACTCTAGCCACTGCTATATTTGACAATAACACAAAGAAAGCATGAGTAGGTGCTACCCAGTCCTTACATTGTTCTAACCAGACAGAGACAGATTTGAGCATCCTTCCTCACTGAATCTACCTTGTGTCCTCCAAGCCCTGACTGGTGAAGATAAAAAGAGGGCAAGTGAAATCCCCTTAACTTGAGTGCTCATAAAATCCTGGGGTCATGATTTTAATGGCTATATTCCTTTATACCTACAAGCCTGTAGTTTTCTGTCTTTACCTGTACATTTAGAAAGTACAAGTTTAATACAAAACCCATTTATATCGAGGAGAAGATGTAAAGGCAGAAATCAGTAGCTTCGTAAACAGTCATCTTCCTTGACAGGAAAAAACATCTGTCTCACTTTTGCTACTGGAAAAATAGTACTGGATCACACCAAGGAGGATTCTGAATATAAGTTCATTCTTGAAAAAGTGCCTGCCCTGATTATTACTTGCTAAGAAATATTGGATTGCTGATAGTTAATCTCAGCACACAGGGGTTCCCCCCACTACAGTTCAAACTAGCGTAAAAGCTAAGAAGATATTTTATGTCGTAGCATTCACAGACAACTGAAAACCATCATTTCTAAAGACTAATATGGCAATTTAAAATTTATAAAGATATATATTGACAATATTAGAATTGTCATTGAGATCTTAAATCTGATATATACCTTAAGAGCAATAAGCACTTAGAAAACATTTCAACACAAGAAACCAGATTAAAGATTTATCAAAGAAAAATACAGATGTATACTCTTCTTTTTTATTTTAAAAGAACATATACACATTCTTTCATGAAAAAAACAGGAAGACATAATTTTCTCATTTTCAAACTTTTGACATTTAATTGAAAAACTCTAGAAAACCTGTAGGTTATATGTATCTCTTACAAGAAAATATTATCTACTCCACCCTGAATAAAACAGTTCAGATTCTGCACTTCCAATAAATACAAATACCACCTGCAAAAGAACTGGCTGGCAGAAAAATGGAAGAAAATATGTTGTAAATATATTTTTATCAAATCGTTTCATTAGTTTTCAATGAATTTGATAATGACTTCAGTTTCCAGACATCTTCCAAATGAGAATCTTTTCAAATAGCAAGAATTCAACATTTCCTGAGTTAGAATTTAGAAATTTATGTAATATAGATTTAGCTTCAAAAACAGATGTTACTGAAAAAAAATTAAATATGTATACTTACAAATTTTTAATATCAACTGCCCCACGGAAAGCCTTCCTCGGAATTGCCTGAATTTGGTTTTCACTCAGATCACTAAAAATAATGACAAAAAAGAGATAAAGAACAAATTATAAAATATAATTTTAAAATTATTTTCACCAAATGTTTGAGGAGTGATAGGATATCAGGGGGAAAAATGACTTGAAAATATCATTATTACATGCCCAGTAATACTTTCCAATACAAATATTTTACATTTCTAATACAAACTAAAGGTTAGACTAAGAGTAGTCTGTTGAGGTATACCTCTAGATCTTTAATTTTTATAATAAATTATAAAATATGATACTTTAATTGAAATCTTGCTTCAATTATGAATAATAAAATATTCTTTTAAAATAAATGGTCAATTTTTTTATAACTCAGTTTTTGGGGTTTGGAAGTTTTAGTACTTCCTAGTGCTCCAACATCAGTGATATAACTTACAAAGAACATAGGAAAGATGCACACTTTTGCTTCCTCCATCCAGAAGGTGGATACCAAGTGATACACTCTGGACAGGATGATTAAGTTTTCATAGCACTTTAAGTAATCTTGGAAATGGAACATGGCAGCACCAGCCCAATGATAAAATGAAGTTGTGCATGAAATATCTATAGTAGGTTGATTTAAAACCTTCTTTAAATAACTCTTTTATAGCCATAAACATAGTCTGTCTATATTTGCATTTTAATTTAATTGAAAAATACATTTTAATCAAGGAAAAAAGCACAGCACGCTGTGAGTTGGAATGAGAACTTTGCAAAACTCACTCAAAAGCTCACAAGGTGGATCATTATTTTTCTTTAAAGAGTTCAGAGGCAATGTTAACAATTCCCATACTATTATTAGCCTTAATGAGTAGGGTAAAAATATACATGCAAAAAATGCCACGGAAAACAGAAAATTAACTTCTAGCTTAACATTAACATTAGCAGAGAACAGAGACTTGGAATAATAGATACATTATTAATATAACAATGATGGTTCTACGATTATCTTTAAATTTCTAAGAATCACTAATTTTCACAAACAGAAATAAAGCTACTGACCACAGTGCATAGCAGACAGAAACAGAGCCCTCTTCTAATATGTGGAAGCACATGGACTGATTCATCCACATCCTGTCCTCCAAAGCTGCTTATGACCAGACCTGTCATCCACATACTTGTAGCCATGCAAAGAAGGGAGCTAATTGGCAGACACAGAGATTTAGTGTGTAGTCTTGACCTCATTAGCACCAAGTTTTTAACTGAAATTTACATTTATATCTTGATAGCCTCACTGTTCAAATAAAAATGTTTGCTAAGCAATCTGTAAAGGAGTAAATGTTAATCTCCTTAAAGAGAGAAGGTCTTCAGCCAAAAGGAAAAAAAAAAAGAAACTCATATTTAGGTTAAAGGAGTAAATTTACAAGATGTGCTTCTATGGGAGGTAAGGCAGCCATCCATTTCCTAAGTGACTTAGCTAGTTACTGCTTTCAATAGTTTAGTACATCCCTAAGAGTAATAACACTTCATTTCCTTAAAAATTGCTTATTTCTCCAGCTTGTCATTGATTCAGACTGACTGACTTCCTTTTTTAAATTACATTCAGTTAAAAATATTTAACAGGATATATTTAAAAGATTTGATGGCAGAAACAGTGTTCAAAGGAGACTATGAGCAAAGAGAAAGCAAAGAGAAATTGGAGGAAGAAAAATCAGAAGGTAATAAGGAATGAAGGGGAAGAAAAGATAGAATTTAAGTTAATATAAATTTATAACGGGGCTGGGGATGTGGCTCAAGCGGTAGTGCGCTCGCCTGGCATGCATGAGGCCTGGGTTTGATCCTCAGCACCACATGCAAAACAAAGATGTTGTGTCCGCCGAAAACTAAAAAATAAATATTAAAATTCTCTCTCTCTCTCTCTCTCTCTCTCTCTCTCTCTCTCAAAAATTTATAACGCTTTCTGATAACTACTCATAGCATTTTGACTATTGTTGACCCAGCTAAGTCCCTGGCTTCTTTTTGCTGTTGTTTTACTAAAATATTTTGCTAAGGTAACTTGTATGAAGCAAAGAAAGAACTAAAAATCATTTCAAAGATTTAATTCATAGTCATTTCTCATGTTTCTATATTTCCAGGCCTTAATGCTTTTTGTATTTCAAATCAATTACTTTATTTTCATTCTTCCAGCACACATATTTCAGTTATAACAAAAGAACAGCAACGAGAAACTTGTTCTAATTAGTTATACATGACAGTAGAATGCATTTTGACACATTGTACACAAATGGAGCACAATTTCTCATTCCTCTGGTTGCACGTGGTGCAGTCACACCAATCTTGTAATCATACGAGTATGTAGGTAATAAAGTCCGTGTTTTCTAATTCCCCCTTCCAACACACACACCGCTTCTTAGAGGAAGAGTGCTTCAGAGAGCAAGAAGGTGAATAAAAATGGTAGAGGTGTTTGCTTCAGAGATGGCCTGCTACCAGCCTGAGGCCACCGCATTTCCCACCTGCAGCCTCAGCTTGGCTGTGTCCAGGCACAGTCTTACCCTGGAGTCATGTTCTCATCTGGGGTCCGGGGTGGGGGGGGTGTGGGGGGGTGGGGGGGTGGAAGGAAAGTTAGGGAATGGCTTTAGATTGTTCACTGAGGAACACTGAAATTTAGTGAGAACATTGTTTCTTCTGAATTTGATTTCAGACTTTTTAAAGATTACCTTTGGCAGAATCCCAGGGCAATGGAATTACTTTCTCTGGCTAATATTTACCAATCTTTCCTTTTTTTTTTTTTTTTTCAAGATTGTGAGAGCCTGTCAGTCTCAAAGCTGATTCTTTTAAGGTTAATGTTTTATGTGTGGCTACCCCCTGGGTAGACCATGTTATGGGGTCTCAGCTTGAGTGACCTGACCACTCAGGCAGGCAATTTTAGTTTGAGATCTATCTATCTATCTATCTATCTATCTATCTATCTATCAACACATCATGTAGTTTGAGAACAAGGAAGATATCCATGGTAAGTAAAGTGTGACTGGTATCTGAGAAAGATGATCAAGGAGGTCAGACAGGCAATAGTTAGTGGAGGGTGGTTGACCAAAGCCACCTTCAAAATAAAAGGAATTCTTATTTGAAACATGTTGAAAAATGATTTTGCTCAACAATTCTCAGCCTCCAGTCTAGGGGAGGGGTTTGTACATTGTAAGTGGGAGAAATCCAAAGAGAAAGGTAGCATTCTAGAGCCAGTGAGGGCATAAGCTCCAGGCCAAGCATGGTGGTGCATGCTGGTAATCCCAACAATTCAGGAGGGTTAAGCAGGAGGATCACAGGTTCAACACCAGGCTCAGCAACTTAGTAGTCCTAAGCAACTTGGTGAGATACTGTCTCGCAATAAAAAATAAAAAAGGACTGGGGCCATAGCTCACTGAGAAAGTAACTTTCAGTTCAATATCCTGTACCATAATAAATAAATATAAATAAAAGCACAGACTTAGACCCAATTGATGAATCCTAAGCACTTATTAATCAAGTGATCTACAGAAATGCTTACCTTCCATGTGCCTCCACTACTTCATCTGTAAAATGGAACAATAAGAGTGCCTATTTCATAAAATGCTTGGGTGCATTCAATAAGTTCATAATTTAAAATGTGCAAAAATTACCTGGCTCATAGCCAGCCCCACAGAGGTGTTAGTTACATGCATGTTACAAATATCCTATTTGGAGACCCAGCTATTTGCCCCCAAGCTCATCTTCTCCATTCCTTGAAGATCACTGTAGGCACCAGGAGACATACTAATAGGAGAGTATTGTTCTGTGAACTGCGTAAAATGAGTAAAATAAGTCAGAACTACTGAGTCTGCGAGATGGAGCTGCCAAGGGAGGAGTTCGTAATTATATCACCAGGCAATAGAGTGTAAAAATTTGTTTCAGAGGAAAGAAATGGCTTGATTGGAGTTGATTTTTAGGAAGATTAATCTGCAAATTGAATTTTACAGTAGGCAGGGAAAACGTAAAAGAGGTGGTATCAAGCGGTGTCTCAGAGAGTTGGCAGGGCTCCCATGCATAAGGCAATAACTTTCAGAGAACTTCAGGAAATAAAGTTTGGAGTTGGGCTTAGTTCCAAATGTAAGGTTGTCACTGTAAGTTGAGGTGACTGTCATCTCAGGTAGAGCTGGGAACCACTGCAGTTTTCTGAGTAATGGAATCATAAAATGGAAAGTGTAAAAAAGATCAGGGTGTTAGCGATGCATAAATTGGGAGGGTAGAACATGAAGATGAGGGGTCTATGCTGGTTTTGTTAAGAGGTTATTGCCAGTGCTCACTCATGATATGGGATTTTCCACAGAAATTTTAAGATACTGAACAACATGAACTTGAAAGCCTGGTTTATTCATTTTCTGAGGTGACAAGGAATTTTTTAAAAGTTGCAAAGAATGTCCCATTCTGAAGGTAACCTCCACAGGAAAAATGAATGAGGGTGAAGGAAAGCAGCTACAAATAGGCAAGAATTTAGATTCTTCATATTTGACATGTTGGGAAGATACTGACCTTTTAAACCACATCTGAGAAGTGGTCCTCATGGCCAGTTGTGAAACCCTGACGTTTCTAATTTTAGATCATCTCTTTTCTATACCTTTCACCAAAATACATCAACAATGTATACATTCAAGCTCCTTCTTCCCATTCTTACTGCCATGGTCACTATGAGAACTTCTATCAACCTTCATCAGCACTTTCATAGGAGATTCCAATCTGATCCTACTGCCAAGATGTATAATCCTTTCCAGTGACCTCCCACAAGGGTATCACTATTATATTATACAACCAAATTGTATCAAATCAGTTCCCCCTGAAGTCTTACTTATTCCAATTGCAGAGACACTAACCTTATATTCTCCTATACTCTACTTCCAATCACCAGTGAATTCTCTTCAGCAAATATCCAGAATTTGACCTTCTTGCACCTCTTCTCCCCACATCAACTCCTAAGGTTTGGGTTGGCTTAATAGCCACCCAGGACCCTCTGCTCCTGCTCTTGCCTTGTTATAAACATGTATTATGTCTTCT